ACTGCTGAGATTATTTTTCACCTCTTGCTTTAAAACCTCCATTTATTCTCAGTTTCATCCAGTGAAATTCAACTACTTCATTCTCTTGCAAGACTCTCTGTGGCCTGTCCCACCTGGCTTGCCTCCTCCTGTCAGTATGAGAGTGCACTGCTAATGAGATACCAGCTCCTTGTCAGCTAATTCCTAAATTTCAAACTTTCACACACTTCTGTCTTTTGCTGCTTTTTAGGACAATTTTCCAGCAGATAAAATTTATCAGAAGTTTACTCATTCTGAAACTTTTTAATCATGCCTATAGGAAAGCTGACAATGGTCAAACAGGAGGTCCAATGAAACTTCAAACTAGTATTCCCTCTCTGTCTTCCTTTCTTTTCCTCCTTTCCTTTCCATATGGGCTGGCTGGCTTGTTTTATACTTTAAAGGTTAGTTCTTTTGGATGGGAACCACTGCTTTTTTTTTTTTTTCCCAATCATATTTCCTCAGCAATGTTGAGGGCCTTTAAGTGTTAGACTCTGAGACTAACACTTTTCTAACACTATTTGAGCATGGAGGTCTGAAACACAGGTAGACAGTTCAGTAAATATATTCTTGTAAAAGGACACTTTTACTGAGTACTCCTATCTCTCCACCCAGGCATGAGAGTATTTAATGCCACCTCTGCTATGCAAACATTGAAGATTTTAAGACTATCCTATTCTAATTATTAATCCTTAAGAGAAGCAGGGAACAGTAATGCTATTCTTCTTTTCTAAGTGCTTAAATACATACACAGACCACCTTTCCATAATATTGGATTACCTGCAATGTTTAATGGAATTGTCCTGGCAGCATCTTTCTGAAATATTTAAGAACCACTGTTTGAATAGTACAGACAATAATTGGCATGAATTAAGCACCTTGCCAAAGGTCTTATGGTAAGTCTGCAACAGAGCAGAGATTTTGATGCTGGCGTCCTAACTTCATAGCTGTAGTAGTGCATCTTAATAACACAGTTATGCTTCATGATGTTTTAAATCACTCTGACAGCGTCAGGGCTTGAAAGGTATTGTGCATGATGCAGACTTTGCAGAAATCCAAACAGTATACATTTACTGTAAATACTACAGATAGGTAATTACATATTACAGATTTTGAGGCATGAAATAATAATTTTAATGATTGCATGAAGCATATACTCAAGCACAAACACAGGAAGGAAGAAAAAGAAATTCAGACTAATATATAGCACGTAAAAGTCAGTGGACAGGATCACTTTGAAAAGGGTCAATACTTTTATGTAAGAGTTTACTTATGTAAATTACCATCAATTATGCAGATGCAGTACATAAGAAATGCCTTTCTTCCACTTGTTTTACTGGAATAATATTACACAGTTCATCTTTTCAAGGTCTATATAACTAAAACCCAAACTGGCTAAGGTGATGCCTTCACATTAGTCTTATTCCCATAACTCAGGAACTATCTCCACTAAAATCAATAGATTTTTGAGTGTGCGAGAAGTAAAAGACAAGCATACTAAATATTTTTAATCCTGTGTTGGCAAAAAGATTTGTAATTCTGTTATGCTTATCTCCAAGCCTGATCTACAATTTGCATATTTTCAGAGTTTTGATCTACAAATGGGTTTTAATTTGTTGACTTTTGCAAGAACAGACTTTTGGGAGTGAGGGCAGGTCATGCATAATCAAAGAGTAAAACAAAGACAAAAAAAAGATGTAGAGAATCAGAGCTCAATTTCTGTATGAAATGCAATTAACATTATCATTTCCTTGTACGACACAAAGACCTTCCTGTACTGGGTGTCCTGCATATTTAGGGGCTTTTTGAAAGATTCAAGAGATCTATATCTAGGCAAATGATACAGAGTCTTATGAAATTAACATGAAAAATTTAGGCATGCTTTTTTCTCCTGCACTTGGAAAGAGGCACAGAGAGATTAAATGATTTCAAAAGAACATTGTGATAGATCTGGAAGCAGAACCCTCTGACCCGAACCGCAGCTCAGGGCCTGAACTGAAAAGATTTCACCTTCTCTTAGAAGACAAGAGTTCAATGAACTGTGGAAATGAAGAAAATTGTACATAGGCTCTGTAGGTAGAATTAGACATTGATATGTGTGAGTGCTTGAGGAACTGCCAGCTTATGAGAAACTTTCAGCTGTGTGACAAAAGGCTGGGATGCCTAGGCTATTTACACGCAGTGCCAATGACTACCTTAAGCCCTGACACAACATGCCAAGATTAACAGTGCTGTACAACCTGCACTGTGTCCCTCCCAAGCACTGCCCTCCCCATGGAGAAGTGGCAGCTGTACCTCCTATTATTTAGAGGTAGGAAGTTTCAGTCAGACTCCACTCTGCAGATACCATACAGAATGTAGCTCAAATAGCTGCAAATCAAGTCCCCATTAGTAACACTGACCTCATTCTTTACCTGGAATAATTCTCTCCAGAGATCAGTCATTTAAGTATATCTATCCTTGATAACCCAGTAGGCCTGAAAATGAAATAGCTTCTCTAATGCAAGCAACAAGAATCAATAGCCTTTAAACACACAAGGACACTTTATTGTCTAAAGCATGTGGGTATATGAATCATCCCACCACTAGACCAGTTCTTTTTGGTAATTTGTAGACATAAGGACAGGCAGAGTTGTGGTCCTTGCAGAGCATATTGGATGGATCAGATGTTCAAGACTTGGGAGCTCTGTAAATGAGACTTCCCTGGGAGAGAAGTGCTTACTGGAGAGTATGTGAGCAAAGGCTACATTAAGGGTTAGTTCTTTCCCAACAAGAATATTGAATTAGTTGCTGCCAAAATTATGGGGTTTTTTCTGCATTTATTGGCAAACCTTTAAATAGCTGTTGCTGTCAAAGTGTGATGAAGCTAAGATCTCACCTTTGCAGATTCAGCTATGATTGATCAAGAACTGGGGAGGGCAGGAAATGAGGGAGTTGTTCCATGGAAATACAGGATCACAGATTCACAGAATTGTTAGAATAGGAAGGGACTTCTGTAAATCATCTAGTCCAACTCCACTGACAATGCAATTCCATAGGAATTCCACTGATTGACACAAGGAAAAGAAAAGTGAGGAGGTATATATTAGAAGGGGGTCTTAGGTGATTCAGAAAGTCTGTACCTCTCAAGTACCTCAGCCAATGGGGGAAGAAAGAGTGAATTGTGGCTGGGAAATTAAGATAAAAAGGAGGCTGAGTGCTCTAACAATTTGAGAGACCCCATGGGAAATGCCCACGACCTCTCCCTTTATTCAAATAAAGTAACAGGACTCCTCTGTCTCATTTTTGGATATAAATCTCTGGTATTTGTGGATTAATTTTCCTGACACAAATAGTATCTGCTCTTCTTACTTTGTATTATATGTCACTGAGCTTTACCAGTTAATTCCTCTTTTCCCCCACTTAATCACATTTAATATAGGCGTGAATTTACACTAGCATTTAGATTAGAAAAAATTAGCCACAATGGGAAATGTGAAAGTGATGTGAACAGTAGTCAAGCACAAGTTTTGTAAAATTGACCCATACTTATGCTGAGCAGCTCTTTACCTGTGATAACCACAGCTAGAGTAACATGAATGAAAATATAACACAGATGTAGTTAGCTGCAGCTAGCAGATTACTAATGGCTTGTTATTTTGAACCATTACTCTGACTTGAAAAGAATGAGCTTATCCAAAACCACAGCTCTATTTAAACACAGACACACAAAAAACCTTGTTGAATTAGGAGCAGAATTGAGCTTGAACTACATATACCTCGAGTTTCTTGTTCATCATTCATTAAATTAAAAAAAAAAAGCAGAAAAAATAGCCTAGTTAACTGTTTTTGAAGGCTTGAGGGCAGGAGGGCTCTGCAGAGGGATCTGGGCAGACTGAATCAATGGGTTAAAGCCAATTGTATGAAGTTCAACAAGGCCAAGTGCCAGGTCCTGCACTTGGGTCACAACAACCATAGGCACTGCCACAGGCTGGGGACAGAGTGCCTGGAAAGCTGCCTGCTGGAAAAGGACCTGGGGGTGCTGGTCAATACCAACTGAACATGAGCCAGCTGTGCCCATGTGGCCAAGAAGGTCAATGGCATCCTGGTCTGGATGAAGGGAAATCAAGCTTGACCAGGGAAACTTCATGCTGGATATTAAGAAAAAATTCTTTACCAAAAGGTTTGCCAAGCACTTGAACAGGCTGCCCAGGGCAATGGTGGAGTTTCCTTTCCTGAAAGTATTTAAAATATATATAGATGAGGTGCTTAAGTGCAGACTTTAGTGCTGGACTTCGCAGTCCTGGGTTAAGTGTTGGGCTTGGTGATCTTAGAGGTCTTTTCCAACCAAAATTATTCTACGAAGCTATAATTCCATGAGTCAAGCTTGAGTGATATAAAATGCTGGGGAATACATAGATGGAAAAGCTGCCCACTTTTTGGATAGCCATGAGCTCCATTATACATTTTTTCCCCCAAGCAAACAGTTTTCATCCCTTATAAATTTTCTGCAGTGCAACAAATTTAAGATTTTCGGTTTTGATGTTCATATAAGTGCAACTTTTTCAGGAGGGGAGGGAAGGGAAAACCTGTCTTATTGTAGTCTAGTGTCAATTAATACAGTTAAAGACAAACTGATGAGTTTGAGTCCTGTGAACTGATCAGTGAATCTATTTTTACTGTTGGTTTGTCTTTTGTATTCAATTTCATATTTAATTTGGCTTTTACAACAATAGCTGTAACTTGCTATTATGTCAAAACATATAGTATCAGGAAAACAGAGTGTGCCATGTCAGTAGTTCTTAGTGCAATAATAAATATGTATGTTGGAAATTTTTGCATGCAGCTGTCTTGAACTGGCTGAATGAAAACTGAGTTTCATAACTAAAATAAGGCCTAAAGCCAGGGTTTTTGAGTGAATGCCAGAACCATCCACTTTTCCAGTGAAGACAAGAAGAAATCCTGAAAAGGTGGTGGAATTGAAGTTACTTGTAAACACTTACTGCAAGGAAGATCTGAAGAGAACTGTGAGCCACTTCTATGTACTGATATTCAAGGAAACACCCCGAGACAGTGATATAGCGATGATCCTCTGGTGCCCAGTCTGGGGCTGGGGTTACTGAGGTCACGGTGCAGCCTGGCCCATTCTCCATCCACCAGGAACGGTGCATTGAGATGTTAAAGGTCAGAATGAGATCTGTTTCCTGCAGAAGAGCAAGAGAAGAATTAAAGCGTGGGGATGGTACTCTGGTATCCAATGCCTCAGCAAGGGATTTCACAGCATGCATAAAGAAGCAAAGAGCTGCAATAAAACTGCGCTGGCACATGAAAGTTAGTGGAGCTTGCCTGCTGCAAACAGAAGTAGCTGTACCTTGTCAGGCAGAAATGCTTTGGAGCAGAAAAATAATCCTGCAAGGCAGGATCTATTCCTAGAGATCATGGCAGCCTACACTACAGAACTCATTTCTGTTGATTGCCCATTCTGTTGATTGCCCATTTTGCAATGGATACCATAAAGATTGATGGCCCATGTTTTGTTATAGATACAACAAACTGTACAAGAATCCCTCAGGATCAAGACTTTGCAAACTTTAATATACAATCTGCAAGGAGTTTTTTCTCCTGGACCCAGCGAAGGAGACCTACGGTAGCTCTACTGAAATATTGGACAAGACTGAAAAATCCTGTGCATTTTTTTGCAGGCAAATCTCTTTGCAATGCCTCTCTCTGATCTATACTTTCCTAGGATGCTGTAAGGAAATAGTGAGTGTTGTCTTGTCTAAAGACTACTGGGCTAGGCAAAAAGGAGGGGCAGAGGTGTGCAACCTTTGACTCCCATACAGCTCGTGCGATGGAGTAACTAGTCAGCCATGCCTTCCATTAGGATTGCATTTATAAATAGTTCATAAAGGATTAATGAATTATTAATATACATCATAAACAATACTACGGATATTACTTTCATAAATTTTATGTGGTTGCACATTACTTGAGAGTGTTACACATAGCTATAACAAATCTATGGGCTCTGTGGATTCTGTAATAGCCTACAGTGTTTACCAACATTTTATAAATAATTTATAACTGTAACCTCATTGTAAAGTGTGACTATCTAGTCTGTGTGCACATGTCCTCAGTCATGCAAAAAAAAATTGCTTTTAACTAATGTCTTTGCAGAGCCAAACTCTCCCCACACCTAACCTACATTTTTCCAGCCTGTTGATGTCATTAATAATTAAGATTCTCATAAAGATTTTAAAATGTAACAATTTAATTAGGCTTACCATGCCAAAAATAATAGGATGCTATTCTGTAGCAGATAAGTTGTATTCACATTTCCCTGCCTTCAAAAGAGCCATTTTTTCAGTCCCACTTATTTCATCTTTTTGCACTAATTTATGAAGAGGTAACTCCATCCAGAGAGGTTTTGGATAATATCACATGTCAATTGATCTGTGATTGTACTTGACACTGCAGTGTAGCTTAATGTTTTTTCTCTGATTTGCAGTTTGTACCAAAAGTATGGAAATTTTTACACAAAAAAAAAAAATCAATTGTTACCCTGCATAAGCACACACACAGCTATCAGATGGCAGGAAGGACCTTAAATATGTTTGCAGTGAATAATTGCCCATAACAGTCCAATCCAGCAAATAATGAGCTGTTTGAGAAAATGTAAAATGCTTCATATGAATTTAATCATACAACTAACTTCAAATATTTTTTAGTTTTGATCAAAGCTACAGCAAACATTTTTATAAACTATACAAATTGTGTCCAAATATGTATATATATATATTGGTGTATGGTTATAAGTCTTCATTCCCCTAAAACCATCTCTTTTCTCTAGATCCTTCCCTACTAAAGCCATAGACACTGGAAATTGTCTGCCACGTGTTTCTTGGAAATGGGAATTTCTACCTTTTACCCAAACCAGAAGGTTATTTTTTTTTTCTGAAGGCAGGGCTGCTACAACCTGTCAAGTAGAACTTTGGTCCTCTCACTTGGTATAAGGAGTTGTAGAATGGACATCGTTGGAGTAACTTTGCTTAAAGTAATAGACTTATTCCTAAATGACTGAAACTGGAATTCATAATGTTATTGTCAAATGAAAAATTTAGCCAGTCTAGTTACCATGGGAAATTCAAAACCTCTAATCTCTTATCAGAGATGCAGCACAAATGAATAGGGCTCATTGTCTATTTCTATTTTAGCATTTGCAGTACCTTGAGAAGAATCATGATGAACTAAATATATTTTACAAAGTGCAGACTAAGGATGAAAAATGTATTTCTTGAAAAAGAAAGGGATAAACTGGCTTGCAGGAACTGAGTATGTTATACATCTGCCAGATGAAGTGAAAATGGATCAAAACTGGTCTCTGTGTGTAGAATATAACTTCTCTAGGGGCAGCTGTTTTTGCTTAGCACAGATTCAGTAATCAAAAACTTTATTAGTTAAAAGCACAAGTAAATTTCCAAGTTACATGGAAATATAATTACACATGAAAATATTTAAGATTACATATGTAAATAGAAACTTCACAAAATCTAGCTTTCTTCCATCCCTGAATTTATCCTCAGATGATTTTTTAAAATATGTACCCAATTCCTTTGTATTCAAATAATCTTTTGACAGTTAAGTTCAATGCTGTGATTAGGACTTGTTTTGTTCAGGAATAGTCTTTAAGTGCTTACTAGTGAAAAAATTAGAGATCTTTAACAGACCTATATTCTATTTCTTTCTTTGAATAATCAGTAAAACTCTATTCTGGTTCCTTTTGGTTTTAAAAGAGATCAGATACCTAGCATAGAAATGTTATATTCCTTAATAAACAACAACAACAACAACAACAACAACAACAACAACAACAACAACAACAACACAACAACAATAATAATAATAATAATAATAATAATAATAATAATAATAATAATAATAATCCTACTGGAAGACACAGCTTCAAATCTTAAAGAAATTTGAATCATATGATTGAGAAGACTTTCAAAAAGCAGTTGTTATGTACTGAGCCAGTTAAGAAAAAAAGGTCAACTTCAGAAAGCAAAACAATAAAACATGAAATCTGGTTGTGTAAGATTAGACACCATTCATGTCTCAGCTCCAACTTGGATGGATTAAGAATGACATTGAAATAAAATCTTGAGAAGTCAACATGTAAGTCAGACCTTGAAAATTTCTATCCCCAAAATATCTGGGATCAGAATAAGCATAGAAGGAGCCTATTAAATACAAAGCTGCTGCACAGTTAAATCTCAGGTATAAATTGTTATGTGCTTTGAACTTGCCTATAACCTTCAAGCCATGTCCCCTTTCATGTAACCATACTAGCAGAGCAGTTCCTGTTGCTCAGTATTAAAGGTCACCCAGATTATGAAAAAGTTTTCCTTAGTGAGAAAACACTTTAGGATTTGAATCCCCTTTTAGAGCTGTGGACTCCAAGAAGGGGATGATGTATCTATCATTAACATCTCTTCTACTGACAGCATTCAGAGCTATTTTTGGACAAACTCTGCTTGCTATTTACTTTGTTCACTGTTTGAATACAGTTTTAGTGGACATAGACAAAGTCTACAATGGAAGCTGGGGATTTATTATGCTCTCTAGTGTATTTGCCGTCTGTTTCCCTTCCAACATCTGTGGCTCAAACTTTGTTCAGGGAAATGCAGAGCAATGGTCTGATAAGCCTTGAAGCTATGAAAACTAACAAGAATTGTTGATACACATTGGGCAAGCCAATATGTTGTTGTTCAAAGTCTGTATGTCAAGGAAGATTTCATTATCCTAAATTCAACAAACAGCTGCTTCCTTTGTGGACACAGAAATACATCTGTAAGGGCTTTATTGCCAATCACTGTGCTGCTTTTGTAAATTCTGCTGGTATTTGTAAAGCTTTTTAGTGAAAATTGGTGCATTAAAGTAGATTTTGATACTCATCAAGAAAAAAAGCCTAAAGGAAAACATTTTGTAGGACATCTTTGCTGACAGTCTGAAGATGTGTTGATATTTGTAGTGGTCAGGAAAAGTACTGCTAGATCTTGAATCTTGAAGTTTGTAGGTCTCGGAGACTCAGATTTCTGAGATTAGGCTATGAGACATCTTCAAATTACATCTGTAATTTTATTTCAGCGTAGTTGGTAAGACTTTGAGCTCTGAGGGTTTAGTGCCTATGTTTAATACAGTAGATGGAACCCTTTCCGGGGGTCAACTGCGCAGTGCATAGCATTTTCTGGCTGAGGACAGCTGATAACAGAACATGGCAATATAAAGCTTTGTAAAAGCTGCCAGAAAAAGAATAAAAGCTTCTTTGTAATCAGACACAGCAGGAGGAGAGCTGTGCTTAAAAAGAAGACAGCTCTTTGTGCATTGTATTAGTACTAGTACATATTAGTAAGTGCGCTGTCTCTTTGCAGAAATCACAATATATTACTGTGTCAATGATTTTTGTTGGTTGCGCCTCAGAGAAGCTAATTCCAAACAGTGCCATGAGAAAAAAGAGGAAGGAGTGGTTCAGGGTGATTCTCCTTGAAAGTCCAGGAGATCTTGTAGACTCGGGGAAGTTGAATTGTACTGATTTCAATGGTTGTGGCTTGCTGTGTCATGGGAAATTATTTCTTCTATTTTTCTAATTAGGAATTGCTGAAATCTGTGCAAACCTGCCAAGCTTCTGTACATCTTTTGTCGAATACAACCGTGTTACCACTTGTGCCATTTATCAAGCTCAAACTAGCAAGAACCGGCTGCTTGGAGAGTGAACAATCACACAAGGTTTCAGTGATAAAAGATCAGGGTCTGAAAGCATTTGTAGTTCTGCATGCCTAGGATGCATGGAGGCCTCTACAGGCACTTTTTTTTTCTTCTGTTATCTCACTTTTCCACTAAAACTAACTCTCACCAGGCAGTACCATTTTCTCATGCAGGCAGACTTTTTCCTGTCTAAAGAAAAAACTCTCCCTACTGAAGAACCAAAATAGAGCTTGTCAGCTGTGTGGGTTTTTTTTTTTTACTTTGCTTTTAAATTCAAAGTTTATATATAGAAAATAATTGTTGTATAAATCTATAAGGAAAATGGATATTTAAAGATTATTTTTCTATTTTGTTGCATCTGAATTGGTTTTTTTCCTCCCTGATTTTTGTATATGTGTGATATTTTCCCTTTCATTTGAATTTTTTTTCAGTACCCTGG